AAAATATGGTGCTTAAAATGGTATTATTAATTCATCATCTATATGTGCTCGGGATAAACTCTTTATTCAATGATGACCCCTCGACCTACCCACGAGTAATTTATTAACCGTGACGTTATCTACCTGGAGATAAATATGCTAGATGGGGAATGTTTTCATTGCGTGTGTATTTTTCACACGTGAAATCATTGTAGATTTGGACACTGTCATCGCGATCTATAACGAATCTATAGTGAGCATTATGTCGATCCCTATGCTGTTCGCAAGAGGCACCAACTACGAAGTCGGTTTTCAAATCGTAAGTCGTGACTATCGTAACTTTGACCTTTCATCGCCGACATCACGCAATCCATGTCCGAATGTTTTGTGATTACATTAACTGTATATTTCATTCACAGTTGTTTTCATTTAGACGTGGTTCGGATAGTGAAAAACAATCTCAACGTAAAACATCACTTCTCTATATTGTCTTTTATAATTATAATGCCAACATACAAGCATTATGACTTCCCTAGGGGAGCGTGTTCAAAGAGAAAATACAAGCTGGTACATCTGATGTTATTGACGAGGTTCAAGATATTCTTCAGAAATTTGGAGGCCAGCAGCTGTACGACAGATACCTTAGTACAGCAAAGCAAGTTTACCCACAATACGTTGAAGAATTACAGGGCATGGCAGACGGGTCCGGGGTAACGTTTGATAAGGTAATCAAGTCGCTCATACTTCAGAACGCTCCATCTATATGGATATGTGAATTCAGAAGCATGTGTGTGGTCTAGTGACACCTACTAATGCTTTTTTTATCAACTAGCAACTATTCAAGTTAAACCTCAGTGTTCACGTAAAAATAGCGTCAGCAACAGTGATGGCGGCGACTAACAAAACTTATGAATAATAAACAAAACGAATCATTATTCATATTATATTGTGTCGTTCATGCAGTTGTTTCTCAATCTGATTTCCGTGGAATTGTACAATATGGCACACTCTGCATCAGTAGACGTTACCAGGGATACAACATCTGAAGGTTGCACCGATCTTTCAATTCAGACAGACGCCGAGGTCAGTGGAAATGTATTTTTTGTAATCTTCGATGTTTTTTCCCCAAAAATGTGTACAAAACACTGTTTTTATTTCACATTCACCTCATTACAGGTTTTGATGACGCACACAGAGGACACTTTTGGGAAAATAAAAGAAGGATTTCTGGTGAACTGTCAGATTGTTAACCCAATCACGCACCTTACAGAGGAACATTTTGTGTCTTACTGCGACCCCGGTGTACTACCCTCCGATACGTTCGGGTTTAACATACATGGATTGGTAATGACGGGAAACACTATTTATCAACGTTATCTCCCATGCGATAGAATTGGTCAGTATTGAAAAGGCCACAGCGTTGAATGAATAAGTCAAGTGATATTATGATATGTTGTGTTTAGGCTGAATTGTACTGTGTTCTATGTAATGCGATGTGTTGTTGTGATGTAATGCGATGTGTTGCTGTGATGAAATGCGATGTATTGGTGTGATGTAATGCGATGTATTGGTGTGATGCAATGCGATGTATTGGTGGAATGCAATGCGATGTATTGCTGTGATGCAATGCGATGTGTTGCTATGATGCAATGCGATGTGTTGCTGTGATGCAATGCGATGTGTTGCTGTGATGCAATGCGATGTATTGCTGTGATGCAATGCGATGTATTGCTGTGATGCAATGCGATGTATTGCTGTGATGCAATGCGATGTATTGCTGTGATGCAATGCGATGTGTTGCTGTGATGCAGTGCGATGTATTGCTGTGATGTAATGCGATGTGTTGCTGTGATGCAAAGCGATGTGTTGCTGTGATGCAATGCGATGTATTGCTATGATGCAATTCGATGTGTTGCAGTGATGCAATACGATGCATTGGTGTGATGCAATGCGATGTGTTGCTGTGATGTAATGCGATGTGTTGCTATGATGCAATGCGATGTAATGCTGTGATGTAATGTGTTGCTGTGATGCAAAGCGATGTGTTGCTGTGATGAAATGCGATGTATTGCTATGATGCAATGCGATGTGTTGCTGTGATGCAATACGATGCATTGGTGTGATGCAATGCGATGTGTTGCTGTGATGTAATGCGATGTGTTGCTGTGATGCAATGCGATGTGTTGCTGTGATGCAATGCGATGTGTTGCTGTGATGCAACGCGATGTGTTGCTGTGATGCAATGCGATGTGTTGCTGTGATGCAATGCGATGTGTTGCTGTGATGCAATGCGATGTGCTGCTGTGATGCAATACAATGTGTTGCTGTGATGCAATGCGATGTATTGCTGTGATGCAATGTGATGTGCTTAATGCGATTAATTGAAAGAGTTAAGTTTTTCATCAAACGAATACTCAGTCGTATGCGAAGATTTCAGTTTTTTATGAATATGCGTTGTAAAGCATACGTTTTTAACACTGTCGTCCCCTCTAAAAGAAATTTCATGTATGTCTTGAAACAGCATGCGTTTCAACCTGCATACATTCATACATACGCTAATTCCACCTTTCAGCTCGTAGGCTGGTAAATCGAGCGGTACTTGGTGCGAGCAGTTTACAGGAAGTCTGTGATATCCTCGCCAGAGAACCAGGCGTTGGCGCGGCATTCAATCTTAACTTAGGATGTCTAGGATCGGATGGATCAGATCCTGAAATATACAGTATTGAATTTGCCAACGGAGATGACGGTACACTTATTGACGTGCAGAAATTCGGAGGCTATAATTACAGGTCAAACACGTGAGTCAAGATGTAATTGCATTATTACGCTATGATGACGTGTTTACAATATGAAACACACTATTACAAAATATTACTTCAAAGCATGTTATAGCAATGGACTTTTTTTTCTGTACCCGAGTCACCTTTTCCTGGGGCTGTCAAAGTTCAACAAAATGACACTTGAGAACCGAACGTTGAGGGCGTGTAAAAGTTACATAAAGTTAGATCTCATTCATTGCGCTCACTTCAATTGTAATTTCGTACCACTCAATATGATTTGTTAGCGATCATCAAAGTTAATATATAAAAATGCCAACATAGTGTTCCTCTTGATCCTTTTCGGCAGTATGAAGCGTTTGACTGTCGAGTGTAATTCGGCACTCGGCCCAGAACGTCGGGAAGCGAGAATCACACAACTAGCAACTCCAAAGAATGCACGTGATCTACTGGAGATAATGAGTGACACAGCAGATGCCGAATACCCGATATATAGATCGACAACGCCCCCTGGAGTCGTGGAGACAGCGGCAGTAGGTGAGAATATAGCAGTATCTTATACTAGGTATATTTGCATCATTACACTATCAATTTATCACGTGATGGTGTACTTTTCAATTCCGATGCTGGAATTGGTTAAAGCGCGGTGGTCGTCGCGCAGCGCGTGTTCGAATTTCATGTAAATAAACAACGTATTTTACACGCGTTGTATACGTCGCTATGAGTCCCTTATCGAACAGGACGCGGCGCGACGACTGCCGCCCTTTAACTTGTTTTACGGAGTAATGCCTGGTATTGCAACATCACCTGTTCTTACATTCAAAGTAATGCATTACATCTACATCACGTGTTCTTTTATCTACAGTAGTGTATGCCATGTTCTTGTATTCGCAGTAGTCTATGACAACAATGTTGTCATTTGAAAACCATGTGTACTTACATCCACAATAGTATCTTATGTGTACATCATGTATTCTTATATTCACAGTATTATTTGATTTAAAGCGAGCGACGATGTCGGTGTACAAAGGAAACCCAAAAGAAAACTGCTATATCCCTATTGCCGTATTACCGCTAAGATTTCCCCCAAATCCAGTTCCAGATATATAAAGACATTCATCGTTTTAACATCATTATATAGATCGTCTTATTTCTTTGTATATGCTTTATATTTGCTAATAAAGTATTCAATATATTAGACTGAAATGTTTTGATTTGATTAATGAACACGTACATGTATGTGTAAACCAATTTGATTGGACACACATCAACCCAGGGGTCATGTCACTAATCAACCAATCACAATTTAAATGCCTTGCAAGTCCCAATGATTTTTTAAAATATGTTTTCCTCGCGCGCGCCCTGATTGAGGGCTTGCATCACCTGGGTCAAAGGTGAAACTAACATGTGGTCTTTTGTTTATTACTTAGCGGCTGTGTATCTGTGGGTTTATTATGTGTGTAATTGGATGTTCTAATCTTGGTGTTTTTCCAGTAATTTCTAAAGGTACAGTAGGCGTGTCCTGTTTACCTTGGATTTGCAAGAGTTTGAGCTGGCCAGCATGTTTTTTTTTTCATAAGATTGATTACTGGCATGTTGATTTCCTATTTTTGAGCCATGTTTGCAACTTTGTCTATCATTTTCATATAGCAATCTCCTCATATCGTTAAAGCGGAGGGGTCGTCACCTGCGCATGCGCGATAATTGATTCCCGAGCGACGATGCTAAAGACACAAAGGCTCATGCGCAGACGTCTGTTTGTAAACAACGACACGTTATGGCCGTTTGCCGCATGAGCAGGTGACGACTTTACCGCTTTAACATTGTCGTCTATGGAGTTCCATTTAGTGGTATGAGCCCCCAGGATGTACCTGCACTTGCTGTGTCTCGTTTATTCGCCATCCGTCGGGCTGCACACCGTCAGTTCTTACGATGACTTCTTTTCCTTTTGGATGAAGCTGCAGCAACTGATCGGGACATAACCTATGACCTTGCTCCATTGTATTTACGATCTACCAAAGATAAAAGTGACGCATGGATAAATACACTGTATGTAATAGATCAAGACATCCCTGGAGTAGGGGCGTAGTTTACTCCCATTGAAAAAGTGTATAAGTATGCACCGCGGTTTTGATCCCTGTTTTTGAAGCTTGGCCAACTATTTGGACACCTTTTTTCGGATCTCCGTATTAAAATGTTGGTAATTCGGCGCCGCAAAAACGACAGTTTTCACACCTTTTTGAGCTAAAATGTGCTCAACATCGATTTGTTTGGATCCAGAATTTAATTTGTTGCAAAGATGAAAAAAAATTATGCATGAACTTCGGTGCATACAGCAAATGGGATTTGCACTGCATTGTGATATTAAAGCCCGCAGCGCGTGTTCGAATTTCATGTAAATAAACAATGTATTTTACACGCGTTCATAAGTCGCTCCGAGTCCAATATCGAACAGGACGCGGCACGACGACTGCCGCCCTTTAATATTAAAAAAAAAGAACGTGTGTGCGTCGACGCGAGCGTCATCGTCCATGTGCAATCTCATATTAAAATAGCTCGACTAGGTGTAACAACCAAAGCGTTTTATGCAATTTCTCCAATGAAGTCACACCTAAGTGAATGAAAACTCATTGTGCAAGGAAGTTGCGAGTTATAACAGTAAAATAGGAATTGTATTGAAATATGTCCATTATTACCTGTGTGTCTGCTTTAGTATCATTCCATATCCTTAACCGGAAATGAAATGTATCACAGCTGACGTCATCTTCAACCGAGAACGCCCCTACCCGGACTAGCTTCGGTGTATCGATCACGTGCACAACTTCTGCAATAACCTGAACTTCTACAAGACGGTCCACGAACAGGAGATAATCCTTTTCCCGTACTAAAAAATGGAAGCCACGCTCTTCGGTGATGTGTTTCCATGGTGATCGATCCCCATCTCGAAAGAAAGCCTGGAAGTGCCATTTGCGCGCTTCCTGTACACAGTGCGGAAAGCACAAAATAGCAGTTCTGTCTAATTTGGTTCCCAGAGGGCCGCATCGTATTAAAGGACTAACGTAAGTCTGTTTGCTTGACAGTGTTGGCAGACGCGATGCATGACGGTTAGCATCGAGGAGTAACGATACCTCAAATTCACCAGAGGATTGATCCACTTCAGTGCAACCACGTGGTCCGATTCTCGGCAAAATAAAGTAGACATCTGACAATGGTATAGATACGATTCCTCCTTCGGGGCCTAGAATACCCACTCCAAATATAGAAGTTGTGAAATTAACATCCTTTCTGGTCCAACTGCATTCCGTTTTGGCAACTCTAGCGCGATACTCGTTTAAACAGCTTTGTAGGTAATCCGAACTATTGAATTCTAAACTTTTATAACTAGAAGCTGATGAAATGGTTCTCTCTGTTGACGTTCCAATAGACACTGAAAAGAAATAATAAATGTTAAATCGTTGTTATCTCCACACATGACATCTAGACAAGCGTTGTTTATTTTTCTTATTCACATCTAACTAAATTATTAGTCAAGATGTAGTAATAGACAAGTTTCGAGTTAAAGCGCCATCAGTCGGTCTCCGTGCGAGATTGTGAGGAGGGGTCTAGCTCGCGCATTTGTTTGCCGGCGTTCTGATGAGCTTTCGAACGTTTACGCAGCGACCCCCCCCCCCCCCGCGCGAGCAGACGAAATTGGGGCGTTTTTTACACCAGATCGCGCAAGTTTCCAAAGTGACAGCGGAATTCGAGACTTGTCTATTATCTTGGCTCTTTGGATCACTGGTTCATACAATTAATCCAAGTGCAGCCACGGAGTATTTTTTCATTCTTTCATCCATTATTTCAATGTATATCAACGTTTAGAGACACAAATATTAAAGCGGAAGAGTCGTCATCTGCGCATGCGTCAGATGGCCATAGCGTGTCATTGTTTACAAATAAGCGTCTTCCCATGATCCTTTGCGTCTTTAGCGTGTGTTGTTATCGTCGCGTGCGCAGGTGACGACCCCTTGGCTTTAATCTATACTCAATTTGACCACATTATTCAGTGTTCCTGTAACGACCGTGGGTGCATCCATTACATTATGACACACTATTAGACTAAGAGTTCGTATATTGTGACGTATCGAAGGTTTTAACATCTTGTCAAATATATAGTGCGTCAATTATTAAATAACACTTACGTTCTGAAACACTGCGTTCGGAGAGTGTTCCCTCAATATCAGCGGTGCTACAGGCAGAACATCTGTCTGATGACATGCTCCTTCGCCTCTCACGGCTACACACGATCCTCGGTGCTCTGTCCGCGGCATCTCCAGAAAGCCAGCCACGTTCAACATATTCAACAATAAAACTGCAGTGGTCGATGCTACATGGAACGAGACTGATGAGCAGTCCACATTGACCTTTGGCTCGGAGTGTTAACCGTTTACTCAAATCCGAGTGAACATGTATTTTAAACGCCATTTTCGGCGCACAGTCTTTCCAGTCTAGCAAACGTCTTAATATCATTCGTAGACATCGCGACTTTTCTTCTTTCCCTCTATCTTCTAAATTTTCACGCAGAATTTCCGCCAGTTTGCTGTTTATTTTTCTTAAGTCTAATGATCTTCTAAGAAGGTCATGAAATTCGCCGACCAATTCAGAATCAGCATCTCTTTCACTGACTGCCAGACTGTCTCGACACAAGGCGACTTCTTTGAGGTCTACAATCTGGTCCCCAACTATACGACGAGGACGGTATTCTTCCAAGGCTCTGTCAATAGCTTGAGTAAACGCGATAACTTTGGGTAGAAAACAATTCCATCTCTTCTTCAAATGTTCCAAAAGTCTCTGGATGTTGTGACATTGCTGGACAATAGTAATGTTCAGTACTTTTGTAGAGTTTTCCATGCCTATTTGAAACAGAAACGATGTGGTATTAAAACTATATGTCAACTACAATATCGCTAAATGCGAAAATATTACTGTTTTGTGTTTTTCGTTATCAGGCATGTTGTCTTGTTAAAGTTGAAAGTTTCAGACATGTACAATACTATCACTGTACTTTATTATCCCCACAAAACAAACTACAAAGTAACTGCCATTTTGATGAACAACATTAGTGGAATCTGAAATAACCTGTAGTTTAAAGGGGTGGTCTTGTCGCGTCGCATCGTGTTCGATATGATACTAATAGCGACGTACACAACATGTACTTGTAAAATACATTGTTTGTTTACATGAAATTCGACCACCGCCCTTTAAGGTCAAGTTTATATTGAACATATGATTCATCTAGATCATGTGAAAATTACTCAAATTTGAACGTAAATGCAATCTGACAATTCACCCTGAAAAAAATGAACCGGATGTTTCTTAAATGTGATGTGTCATATGCTCGCTTACGAAGCCCAATCACATCTTTGGACCAGAGTGTCAGTATCTCATGCCTTAATTTTACGCAAACAACCGGCACCGGGACTAATTAACACGATTTTGTCAACAATTTTTGGGGGAGTTAATAAGCAAAAGTTAAAGTTAAATCGCGCAGTCATATACCTCGTTGTTATGTATTTCGTAAGTGATCTATATCGAACATTTTCCGTGTATTGGACGACCTTAGCGTAGTCGTCGCATCTTTGTTCATATGAGTCCCATATCTCACGCATGCGTTGGGCGACGACCACCACCCTTTAAATGTTTCTGCAGGACACATAGCTTAGATGAAATGGCTGCAGATGAGAAGTGTGGCAATTGATTTCCAGAAAATAGCATGAATTCGACCAGTATCATCACAGTAAAGTTCGAGTCGTGTACGAAAGCCTAGGACAACAATGATAAATATCGTATATGTGTATATAAATTGTGACGCATGCGCGCGTCGATCTGTGGTCGCCCATTTGTCTGGACAAGTCAGAAAACCCTCAGCATAAATGTTATAATCTAATTGTCAAATGGATTGACCTCTTGACCTATGTTTCATGTTACTATTGGTAACTGTTATCGACTTATGTATTGGACATTGGACTATACGTATTGATATTTTAGAAGTAAAATCAACCTCCACCTCCGACAAGTTTGGGGCACGTTCGGGATATTGTTCGGGATGTACTCGGGCGCATAAGACTTTA